GTGTAATTGATTCTACACTTGGTCTGACTGTTCATTAACAGTTTGAATGTAGCGCAGTTGCTTCTCAAATAAAAAACTATGAGAGTGACCTATATATGTACTCTCTCATTTGTTCTAAAATACATTATGCTGATTTTTTTGCAGAATGTTTTGCTGAATTTGTTTTGGCAAGGGTAATTCTGATTGGATCTTTGTAAATAATTCTAGTGCTTCTAGTACTTACTTGACATTCCAATCGCATATTTTTCAATTTATACTTTTGGAAATAAACATTGGTTCTTCCTATCCCCCTTTTTAAAGAGCTTCTAGCCTACCCACCTCTGCAATATAGTTCAAACAATGAGGTGGGGAAGAGTGAGGTGGTGGCTATAGCTTCAAAACAAAAGAGCTGATTGGTAGACTGATAGATTACAAAAATAGAGGAGTAAAAGTAGGTTCCATTTTGTCTCACCACATTTTAATCTGATAAAGCACAAAAGGGCCTGCCATCTTATTTTCCATATCTCTTCAAAGGGTTGCATTTGCAATGTCGATTAAAGGTACAAATATCATTGCTGTTTTCTCTGCTTTCCTCAGTTGTATAAGAAAGGGCTTCAGACTCATGTAGGCTATTTCTTCTTTCTTGAATGTGGAGCTGGAATAGCATTATGGGAATAGCATTATTTTGATTGCTCACAGGGAAATATGATGCTGATTCTAGAACAGCCATCCCTGATCTTTCCTCTGACCATACCTTCCTGCCATATGTTAAGACAGAAGAAGCAACAAAACCAGTGTTGGTCCAGGCAATTCCATTTGGGAACTACAATTATACTGTGATCTGTAAATCAGATTGTATTTACAACTAATAAATGTATTAATCTCATACTCTAATTTTTCTCCAGCTCTGATATTTTTTTACTTACCAAGATAATAAATCTGAGAACACAATACTGGGAGTAGATTTTTGTGTGTGTGTGATGAGAACTTTTAAAATTTACTCTCTTGGCAACTTTCAAATATGCAATACAGTTTTATTAACTATATCATGGTATTTTTACATTCTCAGGACTCACTTATTTTGTAACTGGAAGTTTGTACCTTTTGATCACCTTCATCAGTTCTGCCACCTAACCACCAAGCCCTGTCTCTAGCAACCATCAATCCGTTCTCTGTATCTATGAGCTATTTTTTTGTTGTTGTTGTTGCTATTGTTTTAGATTCCACATACAAGTGGAATCATACAGTATCTGGCTCTCTGTGTTTGATTTACTGCATTTAGCATACTGCCTCAAGGTCCATTCATGTTGTTGAAATGGCAGATTTCCTTCCTTTATTCCTTTATATGGCTGAATAATATTCCACTGCATGTACATGGCATGTTTGTTTGTCCATTCATCCATGACTGATGCTCATTTATCTGGACAAGAATAAATTAGAGTTTTTAGAATGTACAATTCAATTCTTGATAGGCATTCAGAAGAGCAATTGCATTTATAAGCAACAAAGAATCTTAGAGGTCCTCTTATTCAATTCCTCCTTTTAGCTTTGAAGATGGAAGTGCGAAGAGAGTGAGTTCCCCAAGGTCACACAGCTGGTTAGTAACCAATCTAGGACTTCTGACCTATAATCAGATATTAATTCTTAAAGTTTAGTGTTTTTTCCACACCAGAGAAGAGGTGATAAAAATACAACAAGTAAACATTGAAAAATCTCCTCTGTCATTCTTGCCTGTGTCTTCAAGATGCCTTGGATGTTGCTGCTGCCGGTGATAATTACTATTTCTTGAGCCTCTGCATGTACCAGACATCAAATTAAATGCTTATGTTTTCATTGTTGTATTATACCATAATAAATGCTTTATTTTATTTTTATCCACAAATTTTTATGAAAATGCTACTGTGTTTAATAATAAAATATACATCTTCACAAAGCATCATTGAAGTTATAATAGTTGTCCTAACTTGTTCTTAATCAATGGATTTTGAAACTATTCCTGTGAAAGAGTAGTCTATAATATTTTTGGTATTAAAATGAACCCTTATATTCACAAGGCTCACCGAGCCACTTAACCATGTTTAAGGTTTCTTCAACTGCCCAGACATCATTCTGTACTTCATTTGTCTCCATCACAAAGTTAAATATTAATGATGCCATAAGCACAGAAGAGACCACAGAGATCACCTAAGCAGCTGGTTTGTTTTCCAGATAAGAAGACCAAGACCAATAAAACAATGGCTTCATCTGAGCATTTGATAATTCAGAACTAGAGCTGGAATTAGAAGGCAGGACTCCCAATTGAATTTTATAACAGAAAAAAAAGGAAATCCTTGGTGTGGAAGAGCTACTTATAAATATTATGAAAAAGTAAAATAATTTTAAAAATGTCCCTCCAAGCCTCACATAGATTCAGCTCCAGCTTTGAGGATCTGAGAGGTCATCATATTGGTCAATAATGACACTCAATCCTAGCTGTGATAAATTTAATATACAGCCTAAAATACAGAGATCGTATTTTGAGATTGGGGATGCTCATTTATTGGCTATTTCTTCTCAGGCTTTTAATTAAATGGAGAGCTCAAGAACTTGAAGGACTAATTTTTCATAAACGTTATTTACATTATGTGAAAAATAATGGCTAAAGAAAAAGGCAAAGGAAAAGTTTATGATGTCACTGTTTCCCAATCTTGTGAACTCCTCTCTATCTTTCCTCCCCATTCATACCCCTAAGCCCTGCTCTTACTTGGCTCTAATATGTCTTTATGACCCCAGATAAGAGACACTTATTCTTGACCTTCTCTATTCATAAAATATGGAAACCAAGCTCGTAACCTCTTGTTTCTTATACACTGTTTGATGTATAGAAGAGGCAATGGGGAAGAACTGAAAAAAATGCACTCCACCTTCAACAATGCAATAAGGATGCCAAAACTTCCCTAGAATAGTTTCCAAAGGTTAATGTGTGGAGGCTTAGTCCCATGAGGCACTTTGCAAAACAGGTTTCAGCAGTCGAATGTATTTCAGGAACAGCCCACATCATGTCCCCATTGTGCAGACTCACAGTGTGCTGTCTCGTGCTGAAGGTCCCAAGGGGTCCTGCCCATTGATAACTGGTTGACTTTAATTTTACTCAGTGATTTCCAAATTTAATGGACCTTTACACCCATATTATACTGAACCCACTTTGGGAAATGCTTCCCTGTAGAATTATAATAGCTGGCTAAAAACATCAAGTAGTCACAAAAGGGATAATAAGGTAAAGCTAAGTATAATGTATCTTATTAATACAGTATATGCTTCATTAAAGACAGAAACTAATGTACAATGTTCACATAAAATTCACTACATAGGATATAGGACTTGTTTTACTATATTCAACTCTTTTTACTATTATTACAAAAAATATCAGTGTGCTTTTTTTGATAAATACAAACTAATTTTCCTTTATCATTTCTTTTTATTGTAGTGGTTCTCACAGTAGAGCTAGATATTCTTGTGAAATAACATCTTCATGAACTCACTATTGACATATCTCCCTATTTTAATCATCAGATATCATTTTTAATATTATCTGCTTATCTGAATAACCAGATATTTAATATTATCTGAAACAGTTTAAATACTGTTTCAGAGTTAAAAGTTGAAATCAACATTTTGTGATTTTCTCAAAAATCGAATGATACTCAATATTTTGCAGGTAATTAACAAAGATTTTTTTCTTGGTGATTTATTTTCTGCTATTTAAATATCATATGAAATTTAGAACTATTCCACACATTCATAAGAATGTGCTCTTATTCTCTCTTTATTTTAAAAATTAAATGGTACTGATTAGCCAAAAATTTTTCATTTCATTACAATATTCCAAAGCTATTAGACTAAATTTTCTTTTTTGATAAAAACTGGTTGGTTGTTGTTACATCAATGAAATGGGCTAACAATCTAGATTAACTTACAAAACTGGGAAGCAGGAGTTTGAAGGTATTTTCGAATAATTTGAATTAATTTTTTAAATAATCTTTATGGACTTAGAGTTAGGACAGCACTTTTTATTATGAGCCTAAAATGAAAAGTTTACATATGTGTAGGTATTAAAAGAATTCTACAGTGGCTGGCTTTATGTGCAAAAAAGAGAGAAATCAAATTTTGTGTCTTCAATATAAACAGAGGTTGAAAAGTATAGATTGCTTTTTGAAAATTTTAATACCTGGGTTGGGAAAAAGTAGGTTTACAGTTATGAGTATGCAAAACACAACTTATTCTTGTATTATTATTTACTAATTATTGTATTATTTTCCATATGAACAACTATAAACCTATTTTTTGCCCCATGTTGCATAGTAAAAAAATAGAAGGCAGGTGATTATTTGGGACTATTATTCCTAGGATACCTCATGTATGTGAGGATTGGAAGGTTGCATTTTAAAATCGTTAGTGGTGGGGTCAGTATTAGCTCAAGTGACTACTTCATCATAGCAGACACTAAAATTGACAGAGGTGCTTTAAAAGTACTCTTTTCAGGGTTATTATAATCATAAATTATCTTGAGATGTTTTCAGAAGCTTGCCCGTCTTTAACGGGTACAGTGCCTGAATCTATCATCTTATTTATAAGTAAGGTAATGTGTAGTGTTAATTCTTCCTTTCTTTGTCAATTCAGAATGCTTATCTTTCAGGCAATTATTTCGTAGTTTATTTCCTATCAAGGTTTTATGTTCTGCCAGGGCGCCAATTATTTGCATCTTACACTGTAATTCGTCTCACTGGGATCTGACCGATGGTGATGAAACGCTGTGTTAGTAGGGGTTTCTTTTCACAGCTATCACCAGTCTGGGAAAGCGCCTCCTGCTGGAGGTTGTACTATCTCAAATCTTCTATCCCAGAAACATTTGCATCCCCAGCATTTCTTAGCTTGTTTGTCTCCAGGCTCCAACACAAATCTGTAAAATAAATACAGCACAAGTTACGTGAGAAGTGAAAAATACCTCGCTTATCCTATTTTTCTTCCGTTTGTATCTACAGATGTCATCCACACTGTAGGGCCGATAGCAAGGGGCCACATAAACGGTTCCCACAAGGAAGACCTTGCAAATTGCTATAAATCATCTCTGAAGCTGGTGAAGGAAAATAACATTAGATCAGTTGTAAGTATCTTTACATTCTTTATTTCTTATTCTTTTTCAGCCTTTATATTTCAGAAATCAGTCTTGTCCAAAATGAGGGTAGAAAATCGTTTCCAAAATTTTGATGTGGTGATTGCTGGAGGGAGGAGAGTATAAGGGGACTAAATGGTAATGTGAAAAAAAGTACAATAAATATTAAAGGTAGTCAAAAAATTCTTAAAACTAAGTTTGAGGATCTTAGTGATGTCATCTGTTGGTTATCATGGCTCCACTCTTTTATCTGCCCTAAGTATTTGCTAAATTGTTCATGATGTTTGAAATTTAAAACATCATGAACAATTTAGAACCTCAGAACTGGAACCGTCTCATCTAGCTTCCTCTCTCATTTGCCATTTTCTTTTGAAGAATGCATGCATGTTTTTACTTGACAGTTGTTATTCCTTTAGATTTATTTTCCTTTTCCTGAAGTAATATTCTGTGATTGGGTATGCTACATTCCTTCTAAGTTTTATCAGTTTAGACAGAGAGAGTTCAGAAAATGTGGATCTAATCTACTTCTTAACCAGTAGCCTGAGATGAAAGGCAGTCTTCTCTAGTTGGATTTGGAGGTATTTATTCACCTGCTTTTCTTTTACAATATGTAGTACATTTATTACAGCTCAATTACACAATAAAAAGAAGACTATGAGAAAAAATAAGAGTGTTAAATACCTGAGAGTCAGTTAATTGGGGCAGAATCCTTGGGTCACTTTATCTAAAGTATAGCCTTGTGGTTATTGTAGGGCAATTAAAACTTGACTTCTTGTAAGTTTGAATGGGTCAGCATTGCTTGGGAGTTCATAAAAGTGGTGGTTTTATTATTTGCATGAAGAAGCATTGAGAGTCAGACACTTTTAGATAAATTTAATCATCACTGCATTTTTCATGTATTAATATAATTATAAAGTGACTTTTTCAATGTACAGTAGTTTGCTTAAAATAAAAAAAAACTTTTATAAACCAATTATATAGCCTTTAAAATCTTTGTATAATTATTAACAGAGCTGAATATTTTATTTCACTCTTTAATTTAAAAAAAAATCTCTTTACAAATGAATCAATAAGTAAGACTATTCTGTCTTAGAGGAGAAAATTCAAGTTCAAAGAGAATGGAGCAAATCAAACTACTAAACCAGTTGGCTAATTTTATTCTCTACAGGAAAATAGAAAAATCAAAACAGGTGTGCACATTCAGAGGATAATTAAAATGTTGTCAATATGGCTTATTGATTTTAAAGGACAAGGGCTGAAGTACTTGGAAAAATGTTTATGTATAGAAGTTTCAACTGGGAAAACATGGACCTTGAAACTTGAAGAGAATTTACCAATTTATTTACTGGCATCTCTATTTTTTTTTTTTTGCAAATAAATAAGGAGAGGCTAGATCATTACAAACAGTGTAAAAAATAGCACCAATTCTTTTAATAGGGAAAAGAAACAAGAAACATTCCTAACTAATATGATCTTAATACAATAATATCTGCTGTTGTATGACTTCCTTCCACTGGGAAAGGAGATGAAGAATCATGGACTAAGTTAAACTAACTTTTATCAGATGGCTTGCAGATGGACATAAGCAATACTCTAGTCATTTTGGGATTGGAATTAGGTCTACCTTAACTTCTTTGATGATATTTTGAAGGTATACATGTTACTTGGATAAAATGAGCAGGTAGTGCTAAACTGAAATTATTCCAATATTAGTAATTAAAAATGGAGATGAAAACTATCTTTGAAATGTGAAATAAAATGTTCAGCTAAGTTAATCTCCATGTTATGGCATGGTTGACTGGAGTCATCATTAAATGTCTTGTATATTATTCATAAAAAGAAAAAAATCCATTTTTCTTCCCTCTTGCTTTCCCTTTCCTTCCTTCCCTTCTTTCTCTCCCCAGTTTTTTTTTTTTCTTGAAAGAGGAAATGTGGCTTTCTGCTTTGCATGGAATGTCATATTCTTGAGCAACATTAAAAACATAATAATGCTAATGTCATCAGATCCTCATTATTTGGAGGTTAATTGAAAATTCTTAGAAATGTGATTGAGACCGGATAGGTGTTTTACATTACAGGCTTGTACTTTGTAGATTTATCACAATGGATGGGGAGAGGTGGTTGATATAAAAAGCCTGCTTATTAAAATGAAAAAAAAAAACTTAACTTGAGCTCATTTGTATACGTCACCAAAAATTTCTCTTAAACCTTTTTTTTTACCAGGATAGCTTAGTGTTTGCTTTACCAATTATCACTGCGTGACCATGGACAAGTCAAGTCAATGTACTGCAGCCTCGGTTTCCACATACAAATAATCAGTAAATTTTTCCTGCTATCTCAGACCTAATTCATGAAGTATTATGGGGGCATTGGAGATAATGGATATAAGTTTTTTTTTTAAGATTTTAAGTTTAAAACTGTTAATTCTCTTTTAAAGTGTTTGGCAATATTACTTCAAGTATAAGATATTTTCACGTTTTATGATTTGGTGAATTTAGGAGATGGGGATAACTCTTCCTTTGATATCTGTTTTGCAAACCAGACTTTTAGACATTTATCATATTATTTATTGATTCTTTTAAACCAGAAATATATTATTATAAAGTATTCGGTTAGTATATTTGCAAAGAAAAATTCATTTTTTCCCTCATCCAGTGTAGAAAAACCTCATTCTCTCCTACTTTGAGTTTCTTCCCTGTGAATCTAACTTAGTACTCACACAAAACACTTCTAGTCACCAAATGTGTGGCGTTTCTAACCCACAGCAAGCAATTCTATGCAACAGCAGCTGAGTGTCCTACAGTTTAACTCAATTCTGATAATATCTATTTGAAGATAGTATTGGCTCTCAAAGGTTAGGACTCAGTCCCATCAGAATGCCCCCCCCCCAACACTTTAGATGCCAGTCACAAAGTCCAAGTTATCATTATGGTTTTCCAACTACGTTTTGTTTTAGAACAAAGCTACAAAAATAAATAAGGAGTAACCAGTTAAAACCAAGTAGCACATATGTAACAAATTAGCCATAAGCTAATATAGTAAATGCCACATGAGAATATATTACTCTGGATCACAGCACAGCCAGACTATGCTGTAATTATAGATGTCTTCAAAATCTCAGTGACTTTTCTTCAGAGACCCTGGCTTGTGGGCATTCCATCATCTCATAGTTGTACTATCTGGAACTAACAACCTCTCCAGCCATAGAACAGAGGCTTGGCAAAACCATGCATGAAATTTTTACTGTCTCATGTTAGAAGTGATACACATTGTTTCTGTTCTCATAGTCCTGTCTACTGCAAAGGGGAGGGCAATATCTGTGAACAAATGAAATATTTGATGGGCACCACTTTTCTGCCAAATTAAACCAAAGGCTTTGGGATCACAGTAGAGGGGTCAGAGATAACTGCATTACTCTAACTTCTTCAAATTAATATATTCTTCAGATTTTTACTGGAGGTAAAACTCCAGTATGAAGTTTTCTATGGTCATGCATATGACCAAATTGTATGGTCATGCATATTTATTTGATAAATAATAACATCCACTGTGTACCAAGGTATTTTTAAAGTATCTTCCAGACAATGTACCTGTTATCGTCAAATATATGATTTGTCTCTATCTCATGACCATCCTAAAAAATAGACGAGATCATCTTGTTCATTCTATGATGCCAGAGTACTTTCTAGTTTTCTCATCACTTTGAAATATCTTCCCACAGATGTCTGAAATTCCATAATTAATCAGTAATTTATGACGGTCAGGCATTGTTCTTTCTCTGTAATTTCCCTTTAAAATATAAACACTCATGGAATCATCAGATAATTAATTTTCTAATACTTTAATATGAAAGGATTATCAAATTACTTTTCAGTTTAGCAGGACAAATCAGAGGGAGACACACTAAGCACCTCAGCCTGCGGGCAGAGGAGAATTGAAAGCAACTCTGAAGAGAGGTTGGGAGAGACAGAAAACAGAGGGGGTCCAAATACATTTCTCCTACTTCCCACTTTTGCTAAACAAAGAGACTTTTTAATTAGATAAGAGGGAAAGTGGTCGTTGTACATAACTATCTAGAAACAAGGTAGTTATTTGGTTGCTGGATGTGACATTTATGGATAAAGTTTCCCCTGTGAAAAAATATTTTTTTATTAGTTTAGGACAGAAAATTTTCTTACATTTTTTTCCTATCCATTCTTTTTGGTGGATTTTAAACATGTGTACCCACGTTTGGTTTAAATTTTTAAATAATAAAATTAATTAATACATTTAATAGTTTGTTTTCCTGGCATGTCTCTTCTATAAATGAGTAATTAGCACAGCTTTATTACTACCAAGGGATGTTTTAATTTAGGATTTTAATCATGATTCTTGTTCCACTGTTATCATAATTTCAAATAAAAAATCTGACAATATGTCACGCTTCCCACACCTAGTTTGTGCAAGTATCTTATCCCTTATAACTTACTTTCAATATAATTCAGATATTTTTCTCTACCTATGAGTCCAACTTGGAGAAAAGTCAAATATATATAAATCTACTTTTATATACATTCTTGACAAGCTTGATAATGTTGATTCCACTGTAGAAAAAAAGTAAAGTGCCATGTAGGTGATAATTATAGATAGAAGCAACTGGAAAATGGGAATAGGAAAAACAGTTGAAATAAAAGTCAAGGAGAGTGCAGGTTTTCTCAGTAAATCCTTAGGAAAGATAAAGGTAGATGTCAAAAAATAGACCCAAGTGTAGAACCAAAGTATTCTTTATATATATGTATATATTTTTTCTTTATTTAGAAATGAAATCACCTCAAAATGTTAATTCTTTATTTGCACTAGTGACCATAATATGAGTTACTCCCAGGTAATAAATGACCTAAAAATCCATGCAAATTAAACAATAATACATGATATACTAATATTTAAGCCTATATTTTAGAACCACATTATTCTAATTCATGTGACTTGAGAAGTGAATAATCATACAAGTA